TTCAAGTGAATTTTATCTTATTAAAGAACACAAATCAGTATAAAGTAATAATATTATGTACCACATTTGTGTTAGTACCTACATCATTATTTTAATAAAATAGTTATAATTGAATAATACAATACAACCTGGTCATCATTGTGAAAAGTATGCATCATAACTTGACTGTTAAAGCAGCCCACAGCACAGCACAACACCATGTTAATGTTCAAATAATGTGGCAATATATAAAAAATAGAGTACACAGATAACGATAAATCGCAATTTTAAAAGTTTTTAAGCGTACAGAACAAACCAAATAAACACAATATGAATTTACAAAACTTTACAAAATTTATCAAACTGAAGTTTGTTGATTTCGTTACCAAGCAACCGTCAAGATTAACCGCCGCTCCTGCCACATGCAACTCGAGTGTAAACTAAAACCAAAGTCGACTAGACAAAAATGTGGATTTTGTTTGTTTAAGGCAAGTGCACAGGGCATGTTACAAATGGCCGACAGCGTTGTTGAAGTGGTGTGTACGAAGTTTTATAATCCAAATTTTCTTTGTTTTAGGTAAGTAAACTTGTTAATTTCGGCTTTAACATTTTATTAGGTGTTTTTAGTCAAGTTTGAGTTAGTTGTAGCATCATTACCGCGTTTAAAATAAGAAAATACGTGTGATAAACCGTATCGGTTTTTTTCTCTGTTTACCGAAAACACGTAGTTAATAAAATTCTTTTTATGTACCTAATGAAACCTATGGCAAAGAGTAAAGACTCTTACTCTTTGCTTATGGGTTGTTTAACTAATGCAAGTTTTGATAGAATTTAAATAGTTTTGAAGCGTTTTTATTCAAAACTTTCAATCAAAACAGTTTTTAACGTTTTTTTTCTCGACACTAGTTGCTGTTATACAAAATGTTAAATATAGGTACCTATAATCTTTGTCAAAATGTATGTTTTTGTTAAAATTATTTGATGTAGCTACGCGAAAACTGGACCTGGGCCCCACTACATTGGCATTTGGTGGAGCGGAGGTTATTGAACGAACAGCCCCCTCATCGGTGGATCGGACGTAAAGGGCCCAACAATTTGGCACTTCATGTACAGTCAACATGTTCAACCGATATCACAGTGTGCGACTTCTTTCTCTGGGGCTTTATAAAAGATAACGTTTATGAGCCCCAAGATTTGTAAAAGCTAAATACACGAATTGGAACTGCTGAGTATCTACAGGATGTTTGCAGCTGGAAGAGGTCATATTAAACACTTGTAAGCATACAGTTCAAAACTTGATTATATTACAAATGTTTTGTGCTTTCCATGTTTTTTTTTACATAAATATAGCATTTTGAACTACAGGGTGATAATCTTTTACAGTATTTTTATAGTTATTTTATTTGAAGGGGTCAATGCAAGAATTGTCTAAGTCACATTTTCAATTAAATTGTTATTGTGGCTTCATCCAAGAGTTTTCACATAAGTTGAAAACCAGGCAAACTCCCATTGAAGTAAATGCAAACTTGGGCACATAATATTATTTCTGCCACTTTGAAAATACCACCTAAAACCTTACATGAAACACTCTTAGATGAAGCCACAATGTAAATTTAATTGAAAATGCGACTTAGGCACTTAAGTGCAAGAATTCTTGCATTTACCCCTTTATTTGTTCTATCTGAAAGTCTGACATTTTTAATGTACATAAATAACTAGACAATTCATAAGCAAACCTTTTCAAGAATTATTTTTAAAGTTTTTAATCCAATTATTTTTTGCTACAATATAAATTGATTTTAATTTAATATAATTAATTTTAACTTCTGCAATAATGGAACAATTAGACAAGATTTATCCTGCATGAAGAAAAAGAATGAAAGCTTTACTCGTCAACAATCCCAAACAGAAATATTTGACCAAATTTTTTTAATAATCTATTATTAAAAAAATTTGGTCAAATATTTCTGTTACCTATAGGTACCTATAGGTAGATATATTTTTTTTTATTTAGAATACATTTTTAGTTACAATTGCTGGTGTGTGAATATTTTTACCAAATAAATTAAGTAGTAATATTTAATTCAAACTTAAAATTAAATATTTAAACTACATAAATAGTTTGAATTATTTGAATAGTTAAATAATTACAATCATAATCTATTCAAATAAGTTAATTAAGGGTTAATGACAAGTAAATAACATTCTTTTTATTTCAAAATAAATTTTAAATTACAATTCCAATGTTCCATTTCTTCAATTACTATTGGAAAATTTTAATTTTCTAATTGAACCATTTAAAAATTTGAAACATTCAAACTATTCAAATAATTCTTGAATTCAATATTCACACATTCATAGTTACATACAATCCAAATATAAAAAAAGTAAAAGCCTGACCATTAAAGAAAGTACACTTTTAGTATTTACTCCAAATATAATTAAATTGTTTATTGTTAAAACAAGCAATCTGACATTTTTATATTACATACACTTCTGCTTTAAATTATTATTTTGAGGCAGAAATATTTTATTTAGGATTTTTATTAGGATATTAAAAAAGGATATTTTCATGTTAAAACAGCACAAGTTAACCATTATTAGTTTTTATAAAATTTTTAAATTAAAAAATAAACAAAATCATATTTAGTTAGTTACTTAGCTTGTTTTTACAATAAACCATTCAATTATTTGTATGCTGGTAAAACAATTACCTTTAGCATAAATAAATATTGATACATTATTTTAATTTTATTTTAAAAATTATTAGGTAATATCAATTGTTTTACAATTTAAATTGATTTTAAAATTGGTATTGATTTCAGGTTTGGGTTTGTGTTAATGGAAGAAGCAGACAGGACTTGAATTTATCAAACTTCTTTGCAAAAGAACATAGAAAATATTAATTGCAGTTGAATATTCTTCATTGAATCAAGAAAAAGACGCAGGTTCAATCCATGAATCATGAACAAGAAAAAAGACAATTAATACTTAATATTGACCAGAAAGTTAAATCATACATAAAGATTTTAATTTTGCCAAATACATAATAATATTTTTAACATTGAGATTTAAGTGGTTCTATTGATTATTAATTTTAATTAAACCAATTTTACTAAAAATTAAATATTCCAAAGAATGTAATTTAATTTTTGGATAAGTAGGAATTCCTTTTTGCCAAAAATTCTATATTTTACAAAACAACAGTATTTTGCTTATTTTAAAAACAAATTATAATCATAATTCCTAAAAATTATAAGAGTGGTTTGTAATAAGTCTAATTATGGCATTAAACATTTTAGGCATAAGCCTTTTGGTTTATTCCAATAAAGAAATTTGGAAATACCTATAGGTATACAATAAGTCAGTATGTATTACAAAATTATTTATTTTTATGAATTACATATTCAAAGTTAAAATAATTTTAATTATATAATATAATCGAACTGTTTTAAAAGGTTGTTTTCTAATAAGGACCAATAAGTATTGAACTATATAGTTATATAGTATATATTGTTTATCAAGAATTTATCAAATATTTTGATGGTTTGTAATATGTTTTAGAATTAATTTGTTTATAAACCTTTGCATTTTTATTAAGAAATCTTAAAAAACCTATAAAAATTGTTATTATGTGACACAAAATTAAAATTTCTGAACATTATCGCTGTAATCAAGCGATAATTGTCTTGTAGGCATATATAAGAGGGTAATTATCAATTTAATGTCATACTTTTTGATAAATTATACCTAAATAATTATAAATTATTATACATGTTTGATAAACCTTTTTTTAAATATCACTTAAAGTTATAGAATAATTAACTTTGAATTTCTCCTCATTTAAATAGTATTTGTTAGTTATACTTTAATTTAAAATTGAATTAAGTGTATATTTTGTTAAATATATTTATTAAAAAAACAAAAATGTGTATTTTTCCACTTAATTAGTGGAAAATAACCGAAAATTGTCGAAATTTTATATTTTTTGATGTTTAATGGACAATATTACGTATATAATCCTTTTAAAATCAAAAAAATATAAAATTTAAACAATTTTCGGTTATATTTCCTAGTTTTAAATAAAAATTCAAATAGCCAATCATTCAAATTTCCCGCCGAAAAAAACAACTCGGTTTTCCAAGGCTGCTAGATTTAAAAATCAACCAATGCTTGTTGCCACTTTTGACTACAGCGCTTTTAATTCTCTTATGTTCTGTGCTAATAAATTTAAAGGTAGGTAAATATACCTTATAAAAAGAATATACTAACCCTAATATACATTAAAATGTATAGTTTAAAAAAAGCAGGTCCTTTTAGTTCTATAGTTTTAATTTTTTTTGTTTGTCCTTTCTTTTTTCCGATATTCCTATTAAATAAAAACTTAACAGTAAAACATTATTCACATAACGAACGTAATATTTTCGTTTTACAATCTTATTGAAAAAATATAAAAATATTTGAAAATAAATTATCTTAAAATAACGTTAGGTTTCAAAAACAGATGTTTAGTGACGGATGAGTTAAAATTATTTAACCTTTCTTTGTCAGACGTACGAAGTTGAAACTTGACGGACCGATAAAATGTCATAATTTTCGAATTATAATTGGACCAATAAGAGCGCTCCCGGATGAACGGACTGACGGACAAACGGATACAAGAAAATTAAGCTTTAAAACTAACTTCAGCCCGTGACTAAAAACCTGTTGCTAACTTCAGCCCGTGACTAAAGCGCCATAAAGCCACAACTTGTCAATGTGTATTTAAAAGGGCGTTTTAAAGGTGGAAGTAGAAAACATTCATAATTTACATTTTTTTAAAGGTCAAGTTGACATTCTATCTGTTATAGCCGTAGTTGACATTTACCCACACAGCACATATATCCATTGGACGTTCAGTGGACGGCCATTGTACATCCAAACGTCCAATGTAAGTCCATTTGACGTCCATTGGACATCTTGTGCTGTATGGGTAATGTATACATTTCTGTTAAGATTGTTATATTAATTGTTTCCCTTACCTGCAACCCGAACCATTTGAACTCCACCGTGACAAGTTTGTAGCACGTCATGACCGGCTTGACGTCGTCCCTCCAGTTCTGGGTGACCAATGGGCCGCGGCCCGTTTTCTCCGACTTGAACTTTTTCGGGTCCTCGTCCTCCTTGTAATCGTTATTCGTCACCGGGTCATTGGCGATGTCGATGTACACCACTTCTCGCTGCTTGAGCTTCTCTGCGGACAGTTCGTGGACCTAAGCAAGAAAAGTTAAGAATTTATAGAAAAAAATTATTATTTTTTTGCTTTTTTTAAATCCCATAAGACATTTTTGATATTCTTAAATGTATTAGAGACGGCCGCAATTGTTACGGGAAACTGAATTTTTTGTAATGCTCATTTAAATTGCTCCATCATAGTTTTCCAAATCTTATAGGTACCTATTTAAAATAATAATAAATGTCTTGTAGAATATGTTTATTTAAATTAATAAAAAGTAGTTAATTGAAGAAAATTGTTAATAAGAAACCAAAAAAATTACAAAATAATTATCCAGAGTTGTCAATATTCGTAAGAAAATATTTCTAATCGAAATAACCTTTTATTGATAAAATATACCTAATGCTTTTGAATAAATAATCGGCATTTTTTTATTAACTCAGGGTTAATTCATTTTGTTAATAGTTTTCAATGTCATTTACACAAATTATTATTTTTTATTCTATAGATTAACATCTCTGGCGTATCAAAAATATTTATCTTTGAGGGAAAAAAAATTTGGTTATAATTTTTTTTAAATCAATTTATTTAGTAAATTTAATTATCTACAAAAAACATCCTTTCTAAATTATCTCTGAAACCAAAATATTTATGCGGTCCTTTTTTGTAGAGAATTCGAAATTTACAAAAAAAATCAGTTTGTAGATGCAGTGCAATTTCGTTGACCGATTTTTTTTCCTTTTGTGTATAACTTTTTTCAGCTTAAAGATTAATATTTATGCTATTACAAATTCATTTCGAAAAAAGCGGATATACGACCCACTCTAATGTATAGTATACAGGGTGTCCGTTTTTCAAAGCCAAGCATGGCTATCTCACTTATCTTATCTCAGCAGTTTTTAGCTAAAAAACATTATGGCAGATTTGAATTCCCCTTGAAAAACTGCCTTAATAACCTTAAACCATTTTTTTAAATAAAAATGCTTTTTAAATAATATTAAAAATTAGTCAAGTTAATTATCTTTTTAGTTCATTGATCGGCATGACAATTCGAAACTTTTCCTAATTAAATGAAAGGTTAAATTTTAACCTCGAAAAACTTACACCCTGTATATATAAAAAAGATTGTCATAATTTTTTAGAAAAGATTTTGTAAAATAATACAAGTTTAAAAGTGTGTTAATATGCATGCTATGGACAGTAAAAAGTTGTTGGAAAAATAGAGACAATCGATTTTTTTTGTAAAACAATTATTTGTTAAACAGTAGACGTCAAAAAAATTCAACAAACATTAGTTATAATTAATAGTCCATAGACCTGCTCGTTACTAATAAAAGTAAAATTTGTTTGTTTGAGCGTTTTTTTAACATTTGTTTTTAAAACAGTATACTTATGCTGTCCAAGAAAGTTATAGCTAGCTCAGATTAACATTTTTAAGGGCCAGTTTATCAATCTCTAGTTAAGTTCCAGTTAGTCTATCTGACGGTTAAATTTCATATCGATCGTTGTGAGAACAATGGTATCCATGGAAATTATCTACCAGATAACTAACTGCAAACTTTAACTGGACATTGATAAACCGGCCCTAAGACAGCAATATCTAGTTTAGTATACATTCCTAAAAGAACTAGATTATTATTTTAGTTTGTTGACATTTTTAAGCTAGCTAAAACTATTTAAAAATGTCAAGTCTTAAGAATTTTAGGTTAGGCTAGCTATTTCTGTTTTAAGAATGTAAACTTAAGCTAGCCAAAACTGTCTTAAAAGTGTCGTTAATTAGCTATACGGCCATTTCAAGCGGATGGACGGGACAAATCACAAAAATGTTTTTATAAAAAAAATTGTAGGTAATTTATTATATAATATTTTTGCATCAAAATTGTCAAATATTTTCTTCTATTATTAGGCTATACATTAAATAAAAAAAATCGCAAGAAATATTTTATAAAAGTAGAGATAATTTCAATATTTGACAGGGGTGGATGGGACAAGATAAATCTTTTTTTGCCCTGTCCACCCCTTTCAATTATTAAAATTATATCTACTTTCATAAAATATTTTTTTTATAAAAACAGTTTTGTAATTCGTGCGTTTCGCGCGCTTGAAATGGCCGTATAATTGTATCAAAAATGTCAAGTAAAGTTGTCATTACTGTTTTAAGAATGTTAAGCTAGCTATTACGGTTTTAAAAATGTGCACTTAAGCTAGCTAAAACTATCTTAAAAGTATCGTTAAGTTAGCTAAAATTGTTTCAAGAATGTCAAGTTAAGCTAGCTATAACTGTCTTGGGAATTTAAAATTAGGCTAGCTATTACTGTTTTACAAATTTCAAGTAAATCTAGCTTAAGAATTTAAAGTTAAACTAGCTATTACTGTTTTAAGAATGTCCACTTAAGCTAGCTAAAACTATCTTAAAAGTATCGTTAAGCTAGCTATTACTGATTTAAGAATGTCAAGTAAAGCTATATCTGTCTTGGAATTTAAAATTAGGCTAGCTATTACTGTTTTAGTAATGTTCACTTAAGCTAGCTATAACTGTTTTAAAAATTGTCAAGTAAATCTAGCTTAACAATGTGAAGTTAAACTAGTTATTACTGTTTTAAGGATGTCCACTTAAGCTAGCTAAAACTATCTTAAAAATGTAACTAAGCTAGCTATAATTGTTTCACGAATGTCAAGTAAAGCTAGCTATAACTATCTTGAGAATTTGAAGTTAAGCTAGCTATTACTGCTTTAAGAATATTCACTTAAGCCAGCTATAACTGTTTTAAATAGCATAACTGCCTTGAGAATGTATTCTATATAAAATTGGAATAACCATTTTAAAAGAAAAAAGTCAATTGATCTGTCTTAATGCATTCGATTGTCTCTATAGTAGTGAAAGAATAGTGGGGTATCTGCATATAATGATAATTCTTGAAAAAAATTGTCATTAATATACAGAGGCTCAAAAAGTGAGGTAACTAGCAAAAGGCTAAGTCCGACTCACGTTCTCCTGGTCTCCCTTATCCGGTATATGCATGCTTTCGATGCAAATCACGAAATTTTCTTTCATATAACCAGGATTCTTATTATGTATGATTTTGTTTATTTGTTTTTGTTTAAATTACACCACAGCACCATAAGCAACCATCATGAAAACCCATCATCACGGATGAGGATGAAGAAAACATAGAAAAAAAAGAACAAAACAAAATTAGTACTTACATTTTCGGTTTTACCGTTGTCAGGTGCATGGAATGTTTCAATTGTTAACGTAAATTTGTCTTTCATGTACGGGGGATTCTGAAAATTAACTCAGTTACATTAATTTTGAAACATACTATGAACAAAAATTGTTTATTGCTGTGGAAGGCCTATAAAAAAACTACAGAATTATCGTTGTTATATAGGGTCTTTGCAAAAACCTTAGTATAAAGTTGCTCAGTTTGGGCGCTATTTTTACTAGAAATTTAAAATTTTGCTAAAATCTGTTAAAATAAAGTCTATATCAAAATTATGATTAATGAAAGTTGCAATTATTGAAAACACAAGTTCAACGCCTATGAATTAACATTAAAACAATAAAACAAAATTAACGTAATCAATATTTTTTTAAACAAGCTTTTATCCTTTATCAGTATATAATTTAACACTAATACTTTTAATAATTAATATTATAATTGTACGTTTTATGCATTTGTTTAACAAATAAAGTTGTACCTTGAAGATAAAATGTTGTATGACATTCGGCCAAGCACAAAAAGACTCACTTCTAGATCTAATGACATAAATAACTAGTTTTAAACTAAAAAAAATTAATATTTAGTTTATTTTTTATGGCAATCTCATGAGCCACCTCGTGATATACAAAGGTAAAAAAGTCTATGAAAACAAATGCAACTTTAAAAATTATTTTCTTGGAATCTGGCTGTAAAAAAATCTGAAATTACTTGTAAATGTGTCTGATGCCTCAAAAAATCATATGTTAAATTTTGAGGACAACTCTTAAAATGGAGATACTACCTTAACAGATAAAAAATTCAGGATTATGTTGTCAAAAAGTTGGACAGCAACTGCGACAGTTGCAAATTATTTTATTTGTCATAATACATATATGCATTTTTGATAAAGCTGTGACTTGAGGCACGCTAACGTGCCGCGATTCTAAATGTTAAAGGCACGTTAGTTACGTCATAATTATTTTACACCATGATTTTAAGATTTTATGTTACGATAAAACTAAAACAAACCAACCAAACCAACCAACCCAACACTTTTTAACAAAGAAACAACAAATTTATGAAATAAAAAAATAAAAACAACTTCGACAACTTCTGGGTATCGAACCCGGTACCTCTCGCATGCTAAGCGACCGCCCTACCATATGAGCTGTCTAGCTTGACATCAATTTTAAAACGCTCGGGGAACAAAAACGGATTATTATTATGACGTAACTAACGTGCCTTTAACATTTCGAGTCGCGGCACGTTAGCGTGCCTCTAGTCACAGCCTTTTGATAACGCATCATCATAAGTAAAATAGGTTATGTTCTTTAAAAGTGAGGTTAGACAGGGTACCTCTGTATATGATTTTTCTTATTTGGGATTTAATTTTATACATTTTTTTAATGCAAAAAAATAAGTGTATATTTTGTTTTAATTCGATGATGAATACCTTGTTAACTTGACACCTGTCAAAGTGTTGCATCTTATAATACATTTAATTTGACAAGTTGTCAACCTAAAATTAGCAAAATATCAAGCAACACTTTGACAGGTGTCAAGTTGACAAGGTATTCATCATCGAATTAAAACAAAATACACACTTATTTTTTTTGCATTAAAAAAAAATTATAAAACTAAATACGCTAAAGAAGCATAGGGTTTTCGCAACGCGCGCGCCATCTGGTGGCGCTCGATAGCATTGTGGAAATTTAAGAATTGTCAACAAACGAGAGAAAGGCCAAAGTCTTATAGCGCCCAACTTTGTACTAAGGTAAGCCTACTTAAATCAACTTATTTTGGTCTAAGGAATATGTGGAAGGTTTTTGTTAGGACCCTCTACAAAATACAGACAATTAAAAACATTGTTTTTGGGTGAATAGAAACTGAACGATTTTAATATTTGTAAAACTGAGTTTTCTTACGATTCGATTCTATTCACCCCGTTTGCAGGTTTGGACACTTTTTTAAGTTTTCCCTTTAACTCTTACTTACCGTTATGACTGTTTTACAGTATGGATATGCGTTCCATGCTTCCTCGTGTATTTCCAAACTACCTTTAGGAGCGAGCAACCTGATAAACGAGGGTACTTTGCTGGCCAAATGATAGATTTTGTAGGTATACTGTCCCGAATTGTATTTGCCACCCAAGAGTGGAAAATCGGTGAACGGCTCGTTTTTCAGCACCTCAATACCTTCCCCTCCGCCAGTGTTATCTTTCGACGCCTCTGCGACGCTGAACAGCTGCGCCACTTGGTACTGTGGAAGAGAAAAAAAAATATTTGAGAAAATAATGTTGCAGGAAAATTCCTAGTAAGTTTTTATCCGGGCGACATCTTAAATTATATAAATATTACAAGAAGACTTTACAAGAAAGTATTGCAAGAATGAGGGAGTTATAAGAGGTCAGTGTTGTAACAGTTACAATATTTTCAGTATCTAGCTACAGTTACAGTTACTTACCAAAATTTGTAACTAGATACAGATACATATTTTATTGCAGTAACTAGTTATAGATACAGTTACCTTCAAAAAGTATCTAGATACATACAAATTATTTTTTGCTTTAAAAAATTTAAAATAGAAATAAAAGGGAATTTTAAAGTGACAACAAAAATATATATGTTTATTATTTTTATTTTTTTTATAATATTTAATTTAAAATAACTTATTTTTTATAATATTTTTTTTTAAATAAATAATAGTCGCAGTTTAATTAAAAATGTATCTTTGTATCTTAGCACACCTAGTTACTTAGAATTTGTAACTAGTTACAATTATAGTTACTAGATTGGGATAAGTAACTAGTTACACAAACAGATACATAAAAAGTATCTAGATACTGTATCTAGTTACTTGTAACTAGTTACGTTACAACACTGTAAGAGGTTGTATAAGTATGAGAGCAAGGGTAGATATTGCAAGAGTTCAAACCTTTTTACTTGTTATTAAACCATTATAAACGTAACTCAGGAGGTATAAAATTCTTCAAATTATTTTAAATTTAAAATACGCGATTCTACAGTATTCTGTAGTATCATACTACAGAACTACTAGTATGTACTTTACCGCGATTTAATTGATTTAAGAAAATATTAACAAAGTGTTTCCAAAAGGCCCAAGATTAATAAATAATTATCCTATTATACAGGGTGTCCCGAACATAGTGTGCAATACTCTACAAGCGGTTACTAAAGACAAAAATAGAAAGAAAACTTCAGGTCGGCAAACGGCTTCTATGGGAGGAACAGTCTTTTAAAAATCTCAAATTGTTTTAGAAATAACAATAAAAAACAGGGTCGCCCCTTTAAGGGGTCTCTTAAGGCCCTTAAATGGTCATTTGCCAAACTATGTTTATCTTCCTATTATTGGCCCTAAAAACCGCTTGTAGTGTATTGGCAATACTGTATTGCACAATATTTTCGGGACAACCTGTATAAACATAATATTTTATTAGTAATAAATAAAATAAAATTATAATTAATACTTTTTATTATATAATTTAGTATAACTATTATAATATTGGTAGATGGTTAACCTCACTTTCTACCAATTTTAATTGGAGCGAGCTTGCGAGCGAGTGCTTAATTAAATGAGTGTCTAGAAACGTTGGATACTATACTTTTTCTACGACAAATAACTATTATTATTATCTAAAAATGATTTAAATTAAATATTTGTATAGAGCGGCATATATACAAAAATAACTCGCGTAATCATTTCTAACTTGGGAATCTGTATTACCGGCGCGCCAGTCAAAATGTCAAATTTGTATGTGTAAATCGAAATTTGTCCCTTGAAAACCGTTTAAATGATGATATAGAAGCAGTTTTTTACAAAATAAAAAGGTCAAACTTGCATATAAACTTTTCAAATAGGTGTTGGCATTGAGAAACTATTTTATATTTTTGTATTAAGATAGTAAAATAATGTATTATTATTTCACAAGAAGGGCACTTTATTTTATGACATTTGACAACTGTCAACTAACTTAAAACCGAGGGGTAAACCACTTAAAAATCAGCGAGATCAACGTTCAACGTTATACGGGCGTTGTGGTCTGATTTTTCCTTATCATTCCTTATCAATAAGGAAAAATTCGTATTATAGTGTCATGGAAACATGTACGATAATGTGCGTTTTAAAGGTGGGATTGAACAACATTATATTGAAAATTTTAATTTTGACAGACTTGACTTGTGAAAATAAAAAATAAAATAAAAAGTATAAAATAAACTAGGAAAGACGTTTTCCAAGGCATATCTGACTTAAATGTCTTGAAATTTTTTCTTGTAATGTATTCCTGTAACATTTTGTGTAACGCAACAATAATTTAAAATGACTCGTAAAGGTTGACGTCATTATTTCTTAAAAAACCGATTGTTGGGTTGATGGCACTAAAAATATACTAATGACGCTTGTTTTTTATTATCTTTAACCTGGATAATATTTTTATAAATTATGTGAAATTTAAACAGTTTTTGATTGTAAATACTGATAGAAATGTAATTTAATCTACCAATTTTATTTATCTGTAGCAAATTGTTATCAAGTTTTAATTTTTATTTGGTTAAATGCACACTTGTTTATCTATGTTTAGACTATATATTGTATTGTATTGTTCAATTTGCTATTCATTGTATTATTGGATTAATAAAATATAAATAATTTTTTGCAATAATTATAGTATGTTAATAGTATAATAAGTATTAGGTTTATTAAGTTTTATAAACGCCATTTTAGTTTCGAGTTTTATTAAACACGAGCGAGTGTTTAATAAAAACTATAGTATCTGGAGAAGTTTATAAAACGAGTTGCATACAATAATTTATGTACAACGAACACTAAAAAGAATTTATTGGTAAATTATTGAAAATACCTTTTACAGATAGAGTTTTATTTAAAAGATAAAACCAATTTAAATATTTTTAGTAAAAATTTAACTGAATGTATCTAAATATTTATATTAAATTGTTTTATTACAGTAACCTTACAATAGATTAATTATTACATACAGGGTAATAAAATTATGTACTTTGAAACTAACATTAATTATAGTGGACTGAACTGCAAAATTTAATTTTTGTCGTTTTTATATAATTCATGAATTTATTTGGTCAACGCCAGTGTCGTGCATACAATACAAGGAATTATATTTACTTATTTTTAAAGAATTTTTTAAATATATCCATTTTTTACAAGGGTTGTATGACATTTGAAAACTGTCAACTAACCTAAAATAACTTCTGCCCGTGACCAAGATCCTGTTGCTAACGTAAGCCCGTGACTAAAACGCCATAAAGCCACAACTTGTCAATGTGTAAAAAAATTGCACTGCACGCCACTGGTCAACACATATGAGTTTTTAATGAAGAAATTTTGTATTTTATTCGCAAAAACTCACAGTTGTATTATTTTATTTAAGAGCAAATTTTTTGTCATTTATGATTTGGAAAAATAAAAATGTTATGAAGGGTATTTTTGGAAGTATTTCCAAATTTCTATCTATTTAAATGTAAAACAGTAATAATATACAGAACACATTTTGTATAAAAAACAATTTAAAATTCATCCAATTTATTTAATTTATACCTAAGTAATTATCAATAGAACTTAATGAACTGATCAATTATTAAAAGTGTACTTTGTATCGCACGGTGTCGAACATTTGAAATTAATTTATTAATGTTAATTATAACAAAAATTTTTTTTAAGTGTAATAAATTTATAGACCATTTATTAATATCGAATGATATCGATTGAAAACGAACATTAAAAACCGACAATTAGGGTGAGTTTCACAAAATATTAAAAGAACAATTTACGAGCGAATGTAACAAGAAAATAATGCAATGAGAAGTAAGTGAGAGGGAGTTATAGGCGGTTGTATAATTATACGAGAGGGCAGATATTGGTTTTGTTCCATAATTTACTGCTAGTACTGAATAATATATTCTGTAACAGGTTTGGAATATGCAATTCCAAATGTGTTTCAGACCATACTTTTTCTACGTTTTTAAAAATTACCATAGAAAAATAATGTAATTGGAATTGAGCTCAGTAGTAAATACTATCTTTTTATAAATTTAGGGACCTGCAAAACACAAGAAAAAGCCCGTACACGTAAACTTAATTTTGAGTTGAAGAATTTAGTGGTGTATAAAATTGTTAACTTGTTTTCTTAAGATATTTCAGGTTCAACTTTGGGTAGTTTTTGTTCACTTTTGCTATATTTTAATGATAACCATTCATTTTAAGGCAGATCCAAGCAATTATCTTTAAATTATATAAAACTAATATAACCACTGAAATTTTGCATATTATTCTAAAATATGGTAGAATTAACCATAATTATATAAAAATCAAGAAAAATGCAAAAAAACATCATCTAAGAATAAAAAATAATGAATTGTATCTATATATATATTAGTTTATATAATTTTATATAATTTAAAGATAATTGCTTTAGCTTTACCTAATGTTGTCATTGCCTTAGTTAAAAATTAATTAAAGGTGAATATTTTATTAGGTACTTAATGTTAAATAATTAAACGTTTTGAAGGTTGTATTTGGTCACAAATATAAACTGTCTATGTTATTGAAAATAAGTTAAAATAATATAAAATAAAACAAAATGTACCAAGTACATACAATTATTCAAAATTAAATACCAACAATTTCTAAATACAGAACAAGTTGAGGTATAAAAATCTATTTTTAATAAATTTTAATATTATTTATTTAATGAAATCATAACATAATAATGTAATGTAATAACAATAATAGATAGTTACCTATCTGTCCATTTTACAACCAAACGTAAAATTATTTTTAGAATTTTGTTTGATATCGCAAAATTTGACAACACCGTCTAATTTAGAAGATGACGTCACCGTTTGATTTAAAATAATAATACAAAATACAAGGTGTTTCTATTGGTCAAGGTTTTCCACGTTTTACAAAAAAGTATTTATAATGTGACATTTAGGTCGTTGCAAATATGCTTTTTCGTGATTAAATGTCGTTTTAGGTAATGTAGGTAGGTAAATTAATTAATGTGCAAACAATTTTTGTCTAAGTTCGTAACGACTGATCTTGACTTTGACACAGATATAACCTACAATATATAAACTGTCAAATACTATAAATAAAGGGTTTAAGACAACAAAATTACTACTAATTTGCCACAAAACAATAGTATTAAGTCAATTATTTGGTATATAATTAATATAGGCTTGTAAAAATGCAAAAAACATGCAAGTACAAAAAACTTTAATTAGGTAAAATTAAGGATAATTTAACAACGTAAATACTCACCTCCTCTACCGTAAGGGGCAAAGTAACACGGCTAAAATAAAAAATACACATTAATATTACAAAATTACACTAAAAAAGTAAGTTAAAATTTCAAGGTCTTATTAGGTAAAATAGGTTAAAAAATTGGATTTTTAATGCTTGAACGTTTAAAAAATATGTAAAACTACTATAATTCACATTTTTGCATAAATTTAAACCCAAATTTGCACAAAAAACCCGACTTTTTGACACAAATTTCTCACAACCAAAAAAACCGTAATAATCACACAAAATTAACCAAAACACCCCATAAAAATCACCAACACATCACCTGAAGTAAAAAATACTTACAATTCCTTTATTAACATCTTCTTTTATTGAAGTTAAATCTAAAAGTACTCGAGAATACTTTAACTTGTCAATTCTGATTCACGGTAAGTTTAGTTGCCTAATGCGCAGGCGCAATGACGCAATCTCGTGACGTAAATTATCTAACTTGCGTGAAAAATGCATAACGATCAAAATACATAAAATACAATGTTAAAAAATCAATAACAAGCAATAACTTATTCAACCCAATGTGTGTATTTGATAATTTATTAATTTTTTAAGTTTAATAACAGAATTTATTTAAATTATTGCAAAAAAACCTAATTTTTGATATTACGCAACCCAGATTACAGCTAACAATTATTTTTATTATATATCATTAATTATAGCCTTTTCATCAATTTTAAAGCAAATTTATTACCAAAATATAAAAATATCAGACAATAAATTTGTTTTTAATTAAAAAAAAAAACGCTTACATTTCATAAAACATGTGAAACCTACCTTACCAATTTCGCTTTAACCCTTTCACTCCGGGAGTCGCAAAAATGCGTAAATTACTGACCTCACAGATACGCGGGAGACGCATTTTTTCAATTAGGTGGAGTCACCATTAACGACGGGAAACACACGTTTGCGGCTACATCGATACAATTAGACGGTCTTTGTCTCTGCGCTGGCGGAACCGTTTCCCGCTCTAATAGCATTTAGGTTAGTTTGCCGCAAAACGATTTCGGGGTGGCATAAATGCAGTTTATTTGCAAAAATTTGTTATAAAATATATTAAATTAGCAACAATGAGTAAGAGATACCTTACTGAAAAAGAGCTGGAGCAGGCGCTATATAATAGTGACGAAGACGAAGTTGAGTTTGATCCTGAGAGCGGGAACCGCACGTTTGCGCAAGGCTTGGATTTGCCCGTATGGGGGGACCACATGGCGCGGGCGAGCCCCGTAGTGAAAGGGTTAATAGTGCGACGCGTCGCGACGTTGCAACACAAATTTGTATCTATATTATATAAAATAAGAGCTCGTTTCATATAGATGCGAAATGCGAATCGCGAAAAATACTTCCATTGGTTCATTTGATTTGGCGGGAAAAGCGTTTCGAGAGATCCTGCGAATTTGCAAGATTTGAATCTAGGGGACGGGAATCTTGGATTGATCCAATATTTTGCGAAAATCGCACTAATTTGGCGTTATGCGCAGGCGTTTCTCATTAACATTAATGCAAAGAGCTTTTTGAGGTAGGTACATGTTTCTTATTTTACCTTTATAGTCACTTTACTATTTTCCCAGTAAGCACCAAACACTCGGCAAACAGTCGGCCTTCGCTCGGCATAGGCGGTTGACCGGCGGTTCGGCTTGCCCCAGCCGGCCCGCGTTATGTTACCTCGGTACCGTTTAGCCATGTTCTAACCGAAGTCGGCCAAAATACGGCAAGCCGCTGCAAAATCGTTCGGCTTGCCCTAGATGGCCCGCTTACGGCCGGAATACGGCCTGCCGCGGCATAAGAGATACATCTCACGGCTGCTTACACAAGCGAGCTAACTATAAATAGAGATGAGTTGCAATATTTAGTTGGAAGTGTGCGTCTGCAGACATGTAATGACATAGATGAACATTAATTGTTCGGAGTCCCCATCTCCATCCTCATCTGCTCAGTAACGAATAATGTCTAGCTAGTCGAGTGTGTTAAAGAAGTATCTTGCCATTCAGAGAATTTTAGGACTGAACTTATAGTATAGAATTTATACCCGCAATCATCTGCTTTTATCCGGTTTTGACGAAGAATTTATATCCTCAATCATCCGTCATTTTCAGCAGGGTTAATAAAAATAAAACTATTCTGCACAGGACAAAAACTTTATTAGCGTAATACATTTTTACTTATTAACGACTATAAATTATAACAAAGTTATAATGTATGTGGCTTTGTAAATTTTTATTTAAAACAGTTGTTTAGTCAGTGAATACTAGTCACCACAAGATAAGGTGACCAACCGTCCTGGTTTACCCAGGACAGGTTCTGGTTTTGTCCTGGTTTTGCAGATTCGGTCCTGGTTTATACTATTTTTTTTATTATTGACGTTATTAGCATTTTTTTAGGGGTCAAAATCAAAGACTTTGGAACTACATTTAAAGAGTATAAAGTAAGAAAAAAAACCATTTGAAAAAAAAATTATGACTTTTTCTCACTTGGGATTTGTTCTATTATTTTTTTTAAAAAAGTGGTCGGGGCTCAGTTTAAAAATTAATTTACAAATCTGTATCTTTGGGAGTGCCTTCACAATAGTAAAAAAGTAAGAAAAAACCTCGTTTGAAGTTTTTCTCACTTTTTTAGGATTTGTTCTAATTTTTTTTTAAAGTGGCTCAGGTTAAAAATTAATTTAAAAATCTGAATTTTTGGGAGTACCTTCATGATAATTTTTTTATTATTGAAGTTATTAGCACATTTTTTTTTCAAATAATAAACATTAAATAAAATAAAATTGGTTTATTTTTATAAGGGCTGTCCTGTTTTTTTATTTTAGAAAGTTAGTCACCTTACCACAAGAGTAATTTTTATTGGTACCTTATTATCTTTACGCTTGTTATTATGTGGTCTTGTAAAGCTTGATTTTCAACTGTTTTAAAGTCACAGTAAACACAATAGTAAGTTTTTATATTTATTGTGACCTTGTCTTCCAAGTCATTTTGTTTTTTTATGTTTCCCAATAACGAGTTTTTGTATTGATTGACTATAAGATACCGATGTTTCAAATAAATGTGCCTCTGAAAGTAACTTTTTCTCTTTGTTTTAAAGTCACAGTACAAACAGAAGTAAGTTTTTATATTTAATTTTACTTTATTTTCCATCTTATATTGTTCTTTATGTTTTCTACAGATGTGACTTTATAAATTACGATTTTCCATTGTTTGACAGTCACAGTTCGTACATACAAGATATGCTTAATGTATGGTCTATGATCATAATATCACATATTTTCTGTGGGTAAAAGGCATAAGGGGATAAGTCAAAACAAGCAATTTTTCAGTGGAGCCTTAAACGCGTTCGCATTAATTTAGGAAATATATATTTGGTTAGTGGGTATACCCTTTTGGTAGCACATGTCATATGCTACCAAAAGGGTATAACCGCTAACCATAAATATATTTCCTGAATTAATGCGAACACGTTTAAGGCTCTGCTGAAAAATTGCTTTTTTTGACTTATCCCCTTATGCCTTTTACCCACAGTTTTGTTAAAACAATTCAACGAAAAACCATTTGTAGTACCTATAATCACTCGAATGTTCGTATCACAATAAAATTAAAATAAATCGCTTTTATGGAATCTATACTTGGTGTATTAAAAAAGTATTTTAAATTTATAACTAAAGCACTGATAGACAATTTTTATAAGAAAAATTTATTTCATTAAAAAAATCAAAACTGAAAAAAACATATTAATTGTAATAAATTAACTGTTAATATTTAACTCCCACTAGGTTTTAACTTACGAATTTTAGAATATTGTACCAAACGATCATATGTGGAGGGGCACTTTTAACTCTTTTTCAGACGCATATAATGGCACATTTAATTTTGTATTTAATAGACTAAAACTTATAGTATTATTGCAAAAGTAATTCTTTCTCTGTATCGTTACTCTTTTCCAAATCATTTCGTTCCTTATGTTTACTACGGATGTGCCTAAGTAAATTTCGTTTTTCCAATGAGGTATAGTCACAGTACACACAAAAGTGAGTTTTTACTTTTATTGCGACTTTCTTTTCTAAATTATTTTGTTCTTTATGTTTGCTATAGATGTGGTAATACAACCTTCGGTTTTCAACTGTTGTGAAGTCGCAGTACACACAAGAGTAAGATTTTATATTTATTGTAACTTTATCCTTGAATTCACTTGTTTCCTTATGTCTCCTATAGATGTGTTGTTGTAAATAACGATTTTTCTTTGTTTTAAAGTCACAGTACACACAAGAGAAAGTGTTTACTTCAATTGCTACTTTAATTTGTTCTTTATGATTGTTATAGATGTGACTATGCAACTTTCTGCTGTCCACTGCTGTGAAGTCACAGTATTCACAAGAATAAGTTTTTACTTGTAATTCTACTTTATTTTCTAAGTCATTTTGTTCTTTATGCTTACTGTAGATGTGGATTTGCAACCTTTGGTTTTCAACTGTTGTGAAGTCACAGTACACGCAAGAGTAAGTTTTTAGTTTTATTGCAATTTTATTTTCCAACTCATTTTGTTCTTTATGCTTACTATAGATGTGGCTTTGCAAGGTTCTGTTCTTTACTGTCGAAAAGTCACAGTAAACACAAAGGTGAGTTTTGATTTGTAGGGCAACTTTTTTTTCTAACTCATTCTGTTCTTTATGTTTGATATAGATGTGTTTTTTTAACGAGTTGTTTTCGAGGGTCGTGTAGTCACAGTACATACAAGATTCAATTTTTATTTTTAATTTTACTCTATTTTCCAACTCATTTTGTTCTTTATGTTTCCTATAGATGTGCTTTTGTAAATAACGATTCTCCTTCGGTTTAAAGTCACAGTACATACAAGATATGCTTGATGTATGGTCTTTGATTATATGTTGTTTTATTTCGCATCCTGATCCTGAGAAAGAACAGTCGCTGTATTCACATATGATTGATGTTTTACTGAAACAAAATAAATTGTAAGTATATTCTAAGAAAATAACTATGTTAACAATATAATATATTTTGTACTGTATTAAAACTTAATCGGAAAAAAATGGATGAACTTTCAAGCTTTATTTTTTGAAAATTGTAATACAGACAAGAAGTGCAAGGGACAAAAATTATATTTTCAATAAAAATTGTCAGAGAAATTTAAAAAATATATATGTATCTTCAAGACTAAGCTTTAAAGGATTCAAGTTTATGTAAACTTTTTTTCTTATTTTAATACACTATTAAACAATTAAAACCTGAAACCCTGTATATATTTCCTAATAATATTAAAAAAAAATTGTTGATTTTTTATTTAATGATTCATTTTATATTATTATTATAAGAGTTGTAGTGTGTTTCGAAGTGTGCTCCAAACCACATGGCTGCCCGGCACTGATGAGGTCCAAACACCTAAACAGGCACCGTTTTAAAATTATTTAAGTACAGCAACCCAAAGATAATATATTATCTATGCAGCTACCGTCGCGACGGTAGCCTACCTAATGCTAGACAGAATTTACTTACGGATTTTTCAAACATTTCCATAAGATTGACCACATTGAATAGTTTAGTGCACAAACCATGCGAGTTTGAAGGCCAAACATATGTATACATATTATGGTGGCCCAAAAAAAAAGAATATTTTTTTTCTCTTGTCTCTTGTGAAAATATGTTGGTTTGTCATGTTTTAAGAGCCCTGTCAAAAGATCAGCTCCATTAAAAAAATTTTAGGGGTCGCTCAAGGTTTTTAAAAATTTCCAAAATCGTCAAAAATTGGATTTTTTTTTTATTTTAATTTTTTTTCTCGTTCCGATAGTATTTTTTAATTTAAAAATAATAAAGATTCTGAAAATTTCAAATGGATATTTTGATTTCTAAAGGTCGCTCAAGATTTTTTTAACTTTCAAAGAGTATTTTGAATGTTTTCGAGCGACCTCTGAATACAAATATCAACCAACTTTTAGCGACCTTTAGAAATCAAAATATTGATTTGAAATATACAGAATTTTTATTATTTTCAATCAAAAAAATAATATCAAGACAAGAAAAAAAATTAAAATAAAACAAAAATTCAATTTTTGACGAATTTTAAAATTTTAAAAAATCTTGAGCGACCCCTAAAATTTTTTTAATTGAGCTGATATTTTGACAGGGCTCTTACAGCATGATAAACTAACATATTTTTGCAAGAGTCGAGAAAAAAAATGTTCTTTTTTTTGGGCCACCCTAATACATATACTACATAAACCAACTAGAAATTCCTGACCAGTTTAAAATGGGTAACTCTCTAGTTTTTCCCACCCAAAACTGACTAATGCCGAGGGAAAAAATTATTATCGAATACAAATAATGGTGATAAAATAAAAAATAATGCAGCAATTCAACTTAATTTTATTATTTAAAATTTAGCAAAATATTTGTTATAAAATGGAATATTAAATAATAATTACTACTTAAACCTTCAACATTTAATAGCATATATATTGTAATCAATGTAAAATTAAAAGAATACATTTTTACAGAATATTATCTAGCTACTTATAATAATAATGTAATTTTAAAGTTTACCCTAACATTTTAGCCATAAAGCATTGCGTACAAGGTGTCATAAATTTCATAAAATTAAAAAAGTTGCTTTTATATTCTTTTAAGGTTCGGTTAGTGCTGTGTAGTCACAGTAGACACAAAGGTAAGCTTTTGTTCTTTATGTTTGCTAAAATGTATTCTGTTGTGAAGTCACAATAAGCACAAGATAATTTTAGTTTTATATGTTTACTTTTTTTCTTTTTCTTCTTTATGTTTTCTATAAATGTGTGCTTTTAAATTTTGAATTGCGATTGTTGAATAGTCACAGTACATACAAGAGTGAGTTTTTATATTTATTGCCACTTTTTTCTCCAACTCATTTTGTTTTTTATGCTTTTTATAGATATGGTTTTGCAACCTTTGGTTTTCAACTGTTGTAAAGTCACAGTACACACAAGCTACAGTTTTTACATTTAATTTTACTTTATTTTCCAACTCATATTGTTCTTTATGTTTATAGTAAAGGTGCCTTTGTAAATGACTGCTATTTATTAGTGTTAAGTCACAGTACATACAAGAGAAAGTTTTTATATTTATTTTTACTTTCTTCTCCATATCATTTTGTTTTTTATGCATACTATAGATATGGCTTTGCAACTTTTGGTTTTCAACTGTTGTGAAGTCACAGTACACACAAGGGTAAGTTTTTATGTTTAATTCAATTTTTTTCTCCAACTGATTTTGTTCTTTATGTTTCAAATAAATGTGCCTATGAAAATAACTTTTTCTCTTTGTTTTAAAGTCACAGTACACACAGGAGAATGTTTTTGTGTTTATTTCTATTTTATTCTCCATTTCATTTTGTTTTTTATGCTTACTATAGATGTGGTTTTGCAACCTTTGGTTTTCAATTGCTGTGTAGTCACAGTACACACAAAGGTAAGTTTTTATATTCATTGGCAATTTCTTAATTTGTTCTTTATGTTTGCTATATATGTGGCTTTTAAGCCTATGACTTTCTACTGTTGTGTAATCACAGTAGTCACAAGCCCGAGTTTCTACATTTAATTTTTCTTTATTTTCCGACTCATATTGTTCTTTATGTTTATAGTACAGGTGTCTTTGTAAATGATTGTTATTTATTACTGTTAAGTCACAATACATACAAGAGTAAGTTTTTATGTTTATTTCTACTTTTTTCTCCATCTCATTTTGTTTTTTATGCTTGCCATAGATGTGTAATTGTAGGTATTGATTCCGCACTGTTGAAAAGTCACAGTATACACAATGAAATTTTTTATTTTTGTTAGTTAGTTTTTGTTCGTGGTCGTTGATCATGTGCTGGGCTACTTCGTAATCTGGTCCTGAGAAAAAACATTCTCTGTATCCACATGTGGTTGATGTTTTACTGAAACAAAATTAATAGTTAGTTTATTTTAACAAATTAACTAAATAAACAAAAAGATTAATGTCTTTTGTATCATGTTTTAATCGATTTTTTTTAGATTTTAGAACTCTTTAAAATAAGAGTCTTATGTAGTATCATGCTGTATATTGGGGTGCTTTTTTATTTCCTTGTTTTAAAGGAACCTGGTGTAAGGAGGAATCTTTACAGTAGATTTTTTGAATCACCCTAATATACAGAGTGTCATTTTTTATTTTTAGTTTTTTGAAGAGAAGTTATTCTTGATAAAAAAGTTTTGATCGCCGAAAAAATAAAATTGACAAAAAATTTTGGGATTTCATCTATTGGGTGTTATTAGGAAAATATGAAATCGATTTTTTTTTTGCTGAATTTTTTTTTAATAAAATTAAAAACGAAGTCTGAATACAAAAATCACGACAGTTTTCTATGATCGATATTTTTAATTGTCAAAAAATAACAATCACGTTGTAAAACACAGGGTGTTTAAAAGTTAGGAAAACATAAAATCTATTTAAGACATCTACTTAAAATCTCAAATACTAGGTAGTGTAATATACATATTATTATAATACATATATATATATATATATATATATATTATTATTCAAAAGTCGCCCAAATGGCGTTTAGCCGCACCTGGCAACACTGGCCGACGGTGGAGGCTACGTCATTTTAAGCAACTAAAATTTAAACGAAGATTTTTAAACAGTTAAATATATTATAATAATATACTATACTATTTATCAATGTTCTTAAATATTGTAAGTTTTCTCAAATGAAAAATTACAACTTTTACACTCAGAATTTTTAACAATCAAGTTTCGAGCTGCAACATATATTTTTTTCACATGTTCAAACATTTTTGAAAAAATATAGTTTTGATTAAATTAAAATTTTAAAATAAATTAATCACGCCGACATCTGAACCTATCATAGTTCACGAGATATGAGCATTTTTTAAAACCATTATTTTCAAACTGGCGTACTAGATACTTGTTATTTTGAAATAATTGGGTATTCCGCAAAACCGTTTAAGGAGTATACTTGGGAGACAAAATTAAGACGATATACAGAGTTTCGTTAGGATAAGACGACCTAAAAGCTTGGTGATTTGACATATGATTAAAATAATCATAATATTTTAAAGCACTTAAAAAATGTACAATTTAGTGTTACACTTAAATAAACTGGCACTTACACTATTAAAACCACTTCTTATTAAAAACTACTAATAGCCATTTAAAAATGACGAGCAATTAAGCATTTAATGTGCTATACAAAATCATTTAAAAATGCTATTTCGTACTGGTAATATACCAATAAACTAGAACTAGCTTGATGAGTATGAGTATGGGGATGCATCAAGGCACAGTAAGTATTGCCAAGGGTAGGATAAGTGAATTACCACTGGTGACTCAGCCGGAGACCATAAAGGTCGATGAAAGCACTTAACCTCTACCTACCCAAGACCGGGTAATGCTGCTCAATACAAAAGACTGCGGATCTAGGGACTCAATCCCGAACAAAAATGCCCAAATCCCCTAGTGTTCCAGTACTTTCCGTTCGTCTACTATTCCTATGCTGAAATTCCGGAACCGCCAATTGTCTGACCCACTGTGCGAAACCATTTCTTCAGTCTAGAGGTCTAAAACTATCGATAGAGAGTTATTATTATTATCTATGAATGATTTAAATTAAATATTTGTATAGAGCGACATCTATAAAACAATAGAGTAACCAACTACAAACTATATTAACGCGCGCCGGTGAAAATGTATCCCTTGAAAATGGACCGTTTAATACGATATAGAAGCAGTTTTTCACAGTGAAAGTAAAGAAAATATTTTTTGGAAACTCCACGGTTGAGTCTCCACACGAAATCAAGTTAAATCAAGTTTAATGCCGGCGAAATTAAAAGTTCAATATTCATATAAATTTTAAAATATTAGCGTTAAGAAACTATTTAATAATTTTGTATTTTTGTATTGATAATAAAATAATTTTTACATTTCGTATTATTTTACAACAAGGGCACTTTATTTTAACGATTGTATGACATTGACATCTGTCAAATAACTTAAAACTAACTTCAACCAGTGGCTAAAACGCCATAAAGTCGCAACGTGTCAATGTGTATTTAAAAGGTCACTAAGGGCCGGTTTTTCAATCGTTGGTTAAGTTTATCTTACGGTTAATTTCCTTAGATACTATTGTTAACACAATAGTATCTAAGAAAGTTAACCGTAAGTTAAACTTAACCAACGATTGAAAAACCGGCCCTTAGTGTCATGGAAACATGTACGATAATGGGCGTTTTAAAGATTGGAGTAGAAAAAAGCATTAAAATCACGAAGCATTTAAAAATGCTGATTTGAACTGGAAACATACTAAAAAATTATCACAATAGAAAACATTAAGCAATAGAAAAAATTAAGCATGATGAAATGATTCACAATAGTGAAATTAAAATACTAACCATTCGAAAAAAGCATTTAAAAATGCTGATTCACACAAACAACCACTTAAACTTTTTACTTTTTACACTTTACTTATTTAAAACCTAAAAGGACGCATTAAAATTATATGTATTTTAAAGCATTTTTATGTTAATAATGCTGATTCAATATGGTAACACCCAAATAAACTAGTACTTGTTACTTGCAAGGTGCAGTATTCAAAATAAATTAAGCTTTACAACGCTGATTTTAAATTGCGAATCGTGAGTTACTCAGTCTTATGTATATACCTGCTGAACAAATCAAGTCTGGCAGACAAAATTTGAGGATGTTATCTTAGAGACTTCACATTTTATGCCATAAAATGTTATTTCAAACCATTTAAAAATGCTAATTTTCACTGGTAAAATACTAATAAACTAGCACTTGCACTTTACAAACCACCATGAACATAAAAAATGACGCATTAATAGTATATTATGTTGCATACTATACTTTATCTACGACGAACACAAAGAAGAATTTAAAGCCAATTTTATTTGTTAAACATTTGACATCTGTCAAATGTCAACGGATTTAACCTCACTTTTTCCCAATTTATAATAAAGCTTCAGTCACAGCTCGTCAATATAATATTAATATTATTAGCCTTAATCACGGGGTGCGAACTGGCATTGGTTCTTTGATACAGTGTTTTTCAGAGCGGAATTCTCACTAGATGGCGCTATTTGCAGAATTATATCTTACAAAAGTAGAGGTAACCATAGACGACAGAAAATAAAATCGGTAAAACTGACATCTGTCACAGTATTGCAAAATTGAAATATTTGTCACATCTCGTTAATGTAGGAGTAGATAAATGCTTTTCCCCGGCGCAAAAAGACACTTCTCCTTCTAATGACTTAATCTACTATTACTTTGATAGTTGACTTGCCAAATGCATTAAAAACAAGTACCTAATACCATTTTAATATTTTCCTGTGCATTTTTCTTCATAGTAAAAAATTTTATTAAAGGATATACAAAAATAAATATTCATTAAATTACTATGGAGACCAATATTTGGACACTGGTTGATAATGACATTTCTGTTAGATTTTAAGAAGTTTTAATTCAAAGAACAGCCAAAAGAAATACAATTTTAAGAATAATAAAACAATATCTTTCATTCTGATACGAAAGGTTTTCCTTGGGATACAATGGGAATTTCAAAATAGCAAAAGCCATTTTCCAATTTTTTTTCTATAAGTATGGGTATAATTGTGTTTTTGCACGCTATGGTAGTCACACTTGTCGCAAGAGTGAATTTTTATCAATATCGGAACTTTTCCAAGTCATTTTGTTTTCCAATAACGTGTTTTTATATTGATTAAGTAAAATATGCCGTATAGTCACAATACATTCCAGATTAAGTTTTTATGTTTATTGCCTATTTATTTTGTTCATTATTCTTACTATAAAGGTGGTTTTGTTAATTTTTGGTTTTTCAACTGAAATGTAGTCACAGTACACAAAAGAGTGGGTTTTTATATTTATTGTCACTTTCCCATTGTTTACCAGTCACAGTACGTATGTATACAAGATAATATCATACTTTATATATGGTCCTTTATCATAATATCACATATTATGTTAAATCGAAAAAACACTTGTTGTACAATTATTCGTATGTTAGTATCACAATAAAATTAAAATAAAACGCTGTTTGCCTTTATAGTATGTATTAAAAAAAGCACACATACAATTTTTATAAAAAAGTTTATTTCATTAAAGGAATTAAAACTGAAAAAACCTTTTAATTATAATAAATTAATTGTAAATATTTAACTCCCTCTAGTTTTTAACCTATGAACTCTAGAATAATGTTCAAAACGAAAAAGATCATATGTGAAGGGCACTTTCAACTGTTTTTCAGACGCACATATATATAATGGCACATTTAATATTGTATTTAATGGACTAAAACTTATAGTATTATTGCAAAAGTAATTTTTTATCCGTATTAGTACTCTTTTCCAAATCATTTCGTGCCTTATGTTTACTACGGATGTGTCTAATTAAATTACAGTTTTCCAATGTGGAATAGTCACAGTACACACAATTGTGAGTTTTTACTTTTATTGCTACTTTCTTTTCTAAACTATTTTGTTCTTTATGTTTGCTATAGATGTGGTTTTGCAACCTTCGGTTTTCAACTGTTTTGAAGTCACAGTACACACAAGAGTAAGATTTTATATTTATTGTAACTTTATCTTTGCATTTACTTTTTTCGGTATGTTTTCTATAGATGTGTTTTTGTAAACAACGATTTGTCTTTGTTTTAAAGTCACAGTACACACAAGAGTAAGTTTTTACTTTAATTGCTACTTTATGATTTTTATAGTTGTGACTATGCAACCTTCTGCTATCCACTGCTGTGAAGTCACAGTATTCACAAGAATAAGTTTTTACTTGTAATTCAACTTTATTTTCTAAGTCATTTTGTTCTTTATGCTTACTATAGATGTGGTTTTGCAACCTTTGGTTTTCAACTGTTGTGAAGTCACAGTACACACAAAAGTAAGTTTTAAATTTTATTGCAATTTTATTTTCCAACTCATTTTGTTCTTTATGCTTACTATAGATGTGGCTTTGCAAGGTTCTGTCCTTTACTGTCGAAAAGTCACAGTAAACACAAAGGTAAGTTTTGATTTGTAGGGAAACTTTTTTTTCCAACTTATTTTGTTCTTTATGTTTGTTATAGATGTGTTTTTTTAACAAGCTGTTTTCGAGGGTCGTGAAGTCACAGTACATACAAGATTTAATTTTTATTTTTAATTTCACTCTGTTTTCCAACTCATTTTGTTCTTTATGTTTCCTATAGATGTGCTTTTGTAAATAACTATTTTCCTTCGGTTTAAAGTCACAGTACATACAGGATATGCTTGATGTATGGTCTTTGACCATATGTTGTTTTACT